AAGGATTGTATGACAAGCTCCGCTTCCATAGCTCCGTCGCTGATCATGCGGACCTTCACATTGGTGTCGTTCAAAGAGAACTTTGAAAGGCTAGCGGCTTCGACGTCACCAACAGGTTCACCATCCTCAGATTTGACGAGCTCTAGACCGATAGTGCCAACTTTGAAGACAAAGTCCAGCTTCGTCCACTTGTCTTGATCGGTATGTAGTTCAGGTCCTTGTGAAGTCACCACGTCCTTGGATGGTGCCGAATTTTCATCGCTCTTGCCCGTTAGTTGACGTGCAGGGCCCGTCGTCTCATTTGGCAGATCGGCTTGGACGTCCTCTTCAATAGCTTCGGGCTCTGTAGCGAAGGCTGTAGGTATAGATCGTGACAGCTCCAAAGCAAACTTCATCTGCTCGGGTGTGAGTTGCAAATTGATGTTCGACATAGACCCATCAATCTCGAGATCTGGTCGCTGTTGTCCGGGCCTATGCTCAACCATGGTGATTTTGAAGTCGAGATCCACTTTGTCGATCAACTGCAGCTCTTCAGAGCGGTCTTCATTGTAATGGAGTCTCGAGGTAAGCTTGATGTTTCTGATGCCGGCCGAAATCTTGTTGGCAGTCTCTGCACTCTCAGAGTCGTCCAGAGGGACAAAACTGTTTTTCGCGTAGATCTCTCCCAAGTTTGCAGTAAGGGTATCACGATCTAGATTATCGGATACCACCATACGCGGGAAAACAACAATGGGCGTGCTGATGGTGATGTCGTAATGGAATCTTGTCGCTCGTTGTTGAATCTGTGTCGCTTGGTTTGCCGCGGCCTGGCGAGCAGCATTGAAGATGGCCTGCATCTTACCAAATTTGACGGCAAATTGCATGATCTTGCGGAAGGGCTCTGTGAGAAAGTTGATCTTGACAGACCCCGTCTTCAATGCGACAGCCGCGTCGTACCCTGGATAGCTCTCCGAATCAGAGTCGAAAGTCTCGTAGCTGAAATCAGCTAGGTTTTTGCCTTCAATAGTCACGAGTTGGCGAAGCGGAGACTCCTCAGATACGCCTTGGTTGACGTCGTCAATGAGCGACAGGTTTCCAAGTCTTCCACCAATACGCATAGTTTTACCGCTAAGGAAAATACCAACGTTTCCGGAGTTCAGACTCAGCGTGGCGAGTCGTATGCCGTCATTATTTAGAACCACTGCAATGCGCTTCAACTCTGCGCGAATGCGTATCTTGTCTGGTTCTGCTTGCGGCTGCTCAACAACCTGTTGTTCATCTTCTTCCTGCTTGTCCTTGATCTGAGCCTGCTGGTTTTGGGGAGGTCCTGGGTTCGTAAATGTATCCAGAACAAAGTCTAGTAGGGTAAGAAGTGTCCGTCGAGTCACTATCAAATTGATTGTTGAAACGGCGACTTCCAAGTTCGTCGCAATGCCCTCATATTTGGTTTGGAACTCTGGCGATTCTTTGTTCACCTTGATGAACTTTAGTGTGAACAGATCTTTCTGTTCGTCCGCTGATACATCTTCTGACGAGATAATGTTCTTGAACTCGGGGATTGTAGATTCCTCCACGTAGTCTTCAACAGCCAAGCTCCGCAGTCGAACATCTGCAGCCATCTCAAAAGCCTCTTGGTAGAAATCAAGATCGAAACTTTCAGCGACTAACTCGACGAGGAGCTGATCAGCCTTTCTCCCTTCAGGATCTGCTCTGTATAGAGAGCCTTGGAGGCGGTCGACTGTGAATTTGAACTCAAAGTTACGCTGATGTAAATGCACGTTCCGCTTGTCTCCTTTGGACTCTTGCGCGTCCGCAAATTGCTCCTCGGTATCACTGTGGCTGTCCTCTTCCATGACAAGCTCATGCTCTTGCGCAGCAAATGCGAAAGATTTTGAACGTGATCGCCCGAGAGGATCTGCTTCAGACTTGGCCTCATTCTTGGGTTTCAGGTTTGGCGGACCCTTTGATCCTTCGACTACTGGTTTGCTTGGGCTATCATCCCCAAACTTGGGTATGGCCACATCAATCAGTTTCATCAAATTCTTGTACTTGGAGTCCGAAACCGATGCGTGAAGTACGGGCAGATTTCCAGAGACGCGGAACTTTGTCAGATCCGATGCTTTTGGGACGATACATATCTCGATCTTGAAGTCGATATTGATACGGTCGACGATATGGTAGTTCTTCACGCTTGAATCTTCCTCCAACTGCGCACGGGTTTCCTCAATGGACGGCCCTATGAGCACTTGCGTTGACTCCAGCTTCAGGTTGAATTTGTCGTACATTAGATTCTCCAACTTCCGGAAATCCTCCTCCGTGTACTGCTGCTTCTGTTTTGCTTGAATGTCACGAAGAGTTTCCTTGTCGACAAGCTCACTAGTGACGCTCATGTGACCTGCATCCAGGATGAGACAGTTGCTTGATTCCTTGGTAACCGAGTCAGGAACAATGATGAGTGGGGCCTGCAGGTTCAGTTGGGCATTGATAGTCTTGTGTTCAGTAAGAGCGAACTCCAAGCCTGCACGGGTTTGCTGTCGGATGCCTTCAACAGTTGCTCCAGCTGTCTCCATGAGTGCACCAATAGACTCCATGTGCCTCTCTGGAGGCTTGAAGAACTTGGCAACCTCCACCACGAACCTAGGGTTGTAAACAAACTCCATGCTCTTCAGATTCATGGTGAGATTTGTGTCGGCTGCTCCGTCGAGTGGATTGTTTTCGAAGGTCAGAAAGAAGAATGGATCTTCCTTCTCTTCCTCTTCGTCATCCTCGCCCTCCACATCCTTGGGCGACTCGTCATCGTTGAGTTCTTCAATTCGCTTGTCGTCAGGGACGGGTGGTGCGTCCTTGACGGTGATGATTTGCGGGAATAAACTACCCTCAGTAGTACCGTCGTACAAACGCATACCCTCCAGTGCCACCTTGACAAACGTCGAGTCCGTACGCTGTAGCAATTGTGTACTGAAGGAGTCGAAAAGAAGTCGAAGTATCTCGTTTCCCTTGCCATGCGGGTCGCGCTTGAGTGTAAAGCTGCCTGTTCGTAGGCTCATGTTGACCTCTAGCTTGACATACTCACGGGGCATATCCACCGACTCGGCAATGACCTTCTTCTCATCCCAGTCAATGGCGTCGTACAGCTCTTTTCGTTGCTGCTCACTCATCTGAGTGTTGTCCTCTTCGTGCTGCTCCTCTGGCTTGCCTCCCCAGACCCAAGACGTCCAAGTTTGTTTGGGCGGAGGCTTCTTGACACCAACATTCTCTTTGCGTAGCTGGTTACGAGCGAGCGAGCGCCAGAAGCGAAGATCTTCGTACGAAAGCTTCCGCTCCAATCTGTCTAGATCGTCTGTCTCAGTAGCATCAAGCCTCTCTTCGCGCTTCTTCTTCTTGAAAAGTTCAATGTATCGTACCCTGTCATCGCGCCGCTCTTTGAAATATTCCCAGCTCCATTTGCGGTTCTTCTCGTGGATCTTATCGAGTACAGCTTTACCCGCAAATCGGAGCCAGCCAGCGGGGTCTTCTTTGGGCGAAGATTTTGGTTGCAGTTTCTTGTACTCTTGGTGGCGAATGAAGTAGTGAAACAAGTCGACCAACATTAGTGCATCGCGGTATTGATCTTCGTCAATGATGAAACCGAGTTCATCGAACAAGAGTCGAGCCTTCATCTTAGCACGATCCGTTTTGCCCGTTTTGTCCATCTCCAAACCAGCACGCCCACTAATGGGCTTGAGGATGAACTGATGGTCATCTAGATCAGGGTTGTCGCCTCTAGCAATCATGCTTCGTGCCTGCTCTATGAAGTCTGAACGGTCGATTTGTTGCTCATCGCTACTTTGGTTGCCCTTACCAGTACCAATGAGCTTGGCATCTGTGTCCCAGTATACTGCCAAGGATCCAAGGGTGGCCAGCTTGTGCGTCGAGGCAGACGTACCTTGGATGAAGGTAGGTTTCCAGTTCTCGTCAGTACTGATGGCGCTGAAGTCTGCAAGGGTGAGACCGAGGGCGAAGGGGTGGCCGGGATCGGATATTGAGTCCTCATAGCGGATGTGAATGTTCTTGACGGTAACCTGAACGTTATCGACAATGGCAGTGACCAAGCTCGCAGTAAAACTTTGGTTCTTTTGCTGTTCCTCGGGACTCATACCCTCAGTGTTTCTCTCTTTTAGCAGTTCTGCACTGTCAAGCTTCTCCATTTTGACAGCGTGAGCACGCCTCTCCTCCTCATCAGCATCGTAGTCTGCATTCTCCTTTGGCGCTGCCAGCAAGAAGACATCTTCAATGCTGACCTTTAGCGGCTTGCCACGCAGATTTGACCAGGGTATCGATAGTGTCAGAGAGCCAAGATGGCCTTCGATAACGTTCAGCGGCAAACGCAATTGATCAAGGGCTTCGCGACGTAACTCGAGGTCGCGTAGCTTGACGTCTCCAGACCAGATGCCGACATTCAGCTGCTTTGGGTCGAAGTTCTGGACGTACATGCCCAGAAATCGATTCAGCAGTGTCGACACAAGTCCCTCGAGCATGGCGGCGACGTTGGGCCGTTACCCAGGCCGGGCGTCGAAGGCAGGCAAGTGGAGTGTGGGGTATGGAGTGGAAAAGGTATCCTTATCGTTGTATCATAAAACTGTGTGAAGTCATAGGAAACGGCTGTCAATTTGCAGTAGCACTGCAGAAGGGGGTATCGTATACGGTAAACACAAGGCGGGGCGTGAATAAAGGCACAGGTTTTGTGTGTGAGGCGTCGAGAATTACCGAGGCCGCAGCCAGGAAGAAAACAAAATAAGTAATCTAGCAAAGAATACAGAGGCCAGACATTGGAGAGGGGAGTGGCACCACACACAACGCAGCAGGGAGGAGGTGAATAGAGATCACCAAGGCAGCTACACGTCGTTTAGCCGCAAGTGCCATGATGCATGACGTAGATCCAGCCTTCCCGCTCACGTGTGCGGGCCGTCTGGCCGTTGATTGGCTGGGGGTCTGCCTCCAGTTGCGCCGTCTCCAATTTCTTCCCGCGTCCACTCCCCGCGGATCGCGTCTGAAGACGTCGCGCATCAAGAGTAGAGGATAGTATATACCATTCTGAGCTGAATCGCTTGTTTATAATACTTTCGCGACCTTTTATCCATACTATCCTTGTGCTCTACCATTGGCACCTACAAACTACGACCCTGAACTTGGCCAGCCAACAGCACAACCTTTTCCATATACACATACTATTTTCAACATGGGCTGGTGGCCCTTCTCAGGCGCAGGCGCAGACGCCGCAGCAAAACAGCAGCACCAACAGCCAGCCACTATTTCAAGTTCAACATCGCCCGTACAAAAACCAAACGATGCACCCACACCGACAATATCACACATACATTCTGCCCCCCACGATCCCGACTTCTACGCCGCCCACCCACACCTCGCCCCACCCTCTTTTTCTTCCAATACTGTCTCGTCCTCGACAACCAACAGCACAGACAATGCCACACAACAATTCGAGGAGCTCGACCCTACACTACCCCGTACCATGTCCTGCCGTGCCGCCTTTGATAGCGCCTTCTATTGCTCATCACTCGGCGGCCACTTCAACGATATATACCGCTACGGGCAACTCCGAAGCTGCTCCGACCACTGGAGCGACTTTTGGTTCTGTATGCGCACAAAAAATAGTCGGAGCGGCCAGGAAGTCAAGGAGCGCATGGTGCAGGATAGGTATTGGGAGAAGGAAATGGTGCTCAAGAGTGGGCCTAATAGCGAAGATATCTGGCGTAAGAGGAAGCCAGGAGAAGAGGTTAGAGGGGCATTTAGTAGGCCTGCTGATGAGGTATAAAAGCAGTGATATGAATATGGGATTATGTACGACATACTGTAAGACTGGGTGCTGAATTGCAAAGAGTTTGATTGATTGATTAAGCCACGTTTACCAACCTATCTAGAAACCTCATACATGAAACGTGAGGCAGTACAATACTTACTTCTCTCTACTCGAAATTTACAAATGACTCCAAGCCCTTCTCGGAGGTTACATGTGTTCCAGTGTATCGCATTTTGTAATAATTGAAAGCGGAATGTGCCTGCTCTATCTATCCACTTTTCTCTTTTCCTATCCAATTACTGAGGACGTAGCATGATGGCACAAAGCATAAGGCAACTGTATGACTACTGCATGAGCCATTTATGTCTGTTTCGCGTCTAGCGTATCAGACTATCATCACTTAGAAAGAGTAGTGGGAGATAATTACCTGCAATTCTACTATCGCGCCGGTGCATGTATTTACTAGTAACTCTAGGCAAAACGATTGTCCAAACCTCGAGTCTAAGAGTAAGATTTCCTGTATAGTAGAGGATACCCAATTTATAAGTCTTTGACCCTTCTATCTCTCTAATTTACTCTAACCTCTTTCTTAATTAGCTGCTAATAGTATAGTATAGGTAAAGGCGAAGTCACTCGTATCCTCCATAGTAAGACTCGTGGCTCGATACTATCCACACCGTTCACCATATAGCTATCCCTCAGGTCCATCACATATTAGCGTCACATTTCTTATCTTGTTCTTATTGAAGTACCAGCTACGCTGTGCTCAAGAAGCCTACGTCTAGTAATATATGCAACAGCTACCCTACTATTAACGCAGCTGTTACGAGATTATGTGTGACACTCTACTTAAAATAGGCAAACTAATTTTTTCGAGTTTATAGTTGAATCTACAATGTTGGATGGTTCTCTGCAGTGTTCACGTATTTTTGTTATAGGCTGATGTTGTTGTGGTGCCCAAGGTGGAGGATGACAGATTTACGCATGGTGCAGATTTATGACGTAGTCTATAATGAGAGAGCGTAGTGGTCCTATTTCCAGAGCTTTTGTCCAGTTATTGCCAATGAGAAGTCGTAACAGTTCAGAGCAGGTACTTGGTTCTTCTGCCTGAAATTTCAATAAGTTTACAATTCCTTCTCAACTGGACTTTTTGAATTCAAGTTTTTGGCGATACTTATTCTGCCTCAACTTTCTAGTATCCCAACGAGAACTCTCTAAGAAATTAGTCTCAAAAAAGCTTCCTTGATATCTTCTCCCAACAACTGCTGCTTGTTTTAAGACCATAACCTATAACTATACGAAGCCCTTTCATAATAGTCTACTCATCTTTAAATCTTCGTAGCCACCTGGATAGCTAACGTCACCTGCAGACAATCATTTACATGACCTTCGAATAGATACATAATTAGATTTCAATCTCCGCGAGCGTTGTGTAAAAAATTGCTTCCATTGAGCGAGTCACGCCCAAAGATAAGCCAGTTTGTCCCTTTTATCCACTGGAAGTATAAGTAACTTAAGAATATACCATATCGTTAAGACAAGCAATGATGGAGGCAAAAATTGAAAATAATTAAACTACGACCAAGACACTCTCTGCAGATGTTCGTCAGGCGAACAGCAGTGGTATATCTGATGCGCATAATCATCAGCAACAGTGTGCTCTGCAGCTAGGACTGGGGAGAAGTCGGCGATCGGCGTTCCACCGCTCAGACGCTAGACCCTGTTCGGGATGCTCCAAGTGATGCGATGCGAACGTTCGGTTCTCGAACTAATTCACTCTTGCAAACAACACTTTGGTATCTACTTACTACATGGCTCAAACCAGGTGATCATCATCCATTAGGAGACACAGATTACCTCTCTCCAAGGCTCGTATTCAACACAACTAGGCTCACACACCGCAAAGGACCTAAGCACCCTCAAAAGACTAGTAGCACCCTGCGACTACCCTGTCTCACACGATCCAGACGCAGCGCGACTCTCGTACTCCGAGAAAGCCTCAGGTATCGCTATGGTCCGAAATGGCAGCCCGTCGCCAGCGGACAATTTTCCGCTAGGCCATTCAGCGACATCCCCTCAACCGCAGCCCTCGAAGCGCGACAAACGGCGCAACATGCTCGCTGAGAAGCTCGCGGAAATGATGGCGTCCTTCTCTGACAACAGAGATAGCCACTATCGCGCTCAGTTGGCTGCGCTACAAGCTGACATCAACCTGATTATGAAGGCTGACCCTTATGCGAACCAACCACTCGAGGATAATGGAGAGGAGGCCTCGGAGCTCATCACGCAGATTATGGGCAACAACGTGCCGTCTGCACCCAGCGCTGGCACAGATTATATCGCGCAATGCGGAAAACACTACTCGCGTTTTGTCGACGCGGTCAATGATGCGATGGAGGAGCGGGACTACAATCTCACCATGCTCTGGGTGTGTGCCCCCTGCATTCCGAGATCCTGACACGAGATGCTAATTGTAGGTTTTATACAGAACAAACACGAAAACACGAAGAACGAAATCGAAAATTCACATTACTACAAAGTTCAAATCGCCGAAGAGGAGCACAAGTTGCTTGCCGCCACCATTCGGGAGCGTCTCGTAGCCAGCATACAGCAGCGAACGAACAGACTAAAGAGAGAGAAGGAACAACTTGACTTGACCGACAGCAATGCGATGCTTCTCCACCCTAATCAATTCAGCATCGGAAACCCCGCCAGTCCCGGCGGACCGCAAGCGCCTCGGAAAACAAGAAGGACAGGACACAAGTTCGGGGATGCTGAAGAGCTGGCTGCAGCCAATGAAACCAAGCGCAAGAGAAAGTTGTTTGAGGATCAGGACAATGATTCTCCTAACGCCTCTGCCCGGGCTATCGAAATGGGCATCGGCTCTCCGTTCCGTGAAGCCAAAGCGCGTACTGTCAATGCACAGTTCGAGTCATCTGCCTACTCTCTTGAACGCTTGTTCACCGAGAAGGAGCTTAATATGGCTATGAATCAAGCTACAACAGCCGCCTCTCACTTCTTTGCAAAGATGAAGAATACAGAGGCTGCAACGCAAGAGGCAACAACGAACGGCAACACCAATGGGACAAATGGAGAGCATGCTTCTGAAAATGGCGACCCTATGGACCAAGACCAGGACTCGGACGACATACCAGGCGCCTCTGACATGGTGCGCCAGCACTCGTCGAACCCCCATGCCACGCGCGGTGCTACCCGGTCTGCACTCAACCCTACGGCAGCCATAGTCAGTGGACAAATACCACCATTCATCTACAACCCGCCTTTCGTGTTGGATGCAAAGATATTCCAGAAGATCAACGCGTCGGCGCCACCACCGCCCTCGCTCTCGGCACATGATGTGGAGCAGGATCTGAAGCTGATGCTAAGGGAAGCACGGCCGGATGATGATCTAAATGAGAAGCTGTTGCAGGCTGCATGCAACCCGGTCAAAGCACGGGACTACCAGGTCCAGCCGCCAAACTTCTCTGAGCCAGTCAATGAGATGACAAGCGCGCTGCGCAGCACAGCACCACATCTGGAAGTAGGAGCAGGACTGGGGGGAGTGCCTATGAGCGCGCAGAGCAGTGCTGCAGGATGGTCCGAAGGTGGTGGGAACACGCCGATAGGACGCAATGGAGAGAGAGACTCGCTTGCTGTTGGTGGTCATGGCGGCGGTGTCGCAATGAGTCGAACGGCCAGCGGAAGCGGAAGGGGACGCGGTCGAGGACGCGGAGGTGGTTAGGACGCGTCTCGGTGGCAGTCGGCTTCCTATTCTACTTGGACGGTCTCTTGACTTGGACGTCACAGTCTCGTATTATACCCATGTCTGGCGTTTGGGGACGCGATGCATGTGCGGCGTTGGGCTGGATGCCGGATACGTACTACTCACATGTACCGAGGTTCTGCTTTGTAGTTTCTTTTGTTATTGCATTTAACTCGGGGATACTATGAGCCAAGAGTATTGTCGCGATCAGGCAGACGCGTCGGTTCCCCCGTTTGTATTGGAATCCTATTTCGTCTTTGGTTTTTTTTCTAGTAGTACTTTGGCATACAAGGCAGACAGAGTGTCAACACGGAGATTTACCATTCAATCAAAACATGTTTTTGTGTCTGTCCGCGTGTCAAGGCTAGCTGTGCATGACAACAGGTCATGTTTTCACGTAGTCAGTCGGCAAGACAAGGCGATCGTTTGCAGGGTGCATGTAATAGTAGTGCATAGGTGTTTCGTCAGTCTGCAATCAGCAGCAGCAGCAGCAGCAGTAGAAGCAGACCACATCATACGAGGTTGGTAATAGTCGATAGCATGGATGGCGGCGGTGGGGATAAAATTCCCCACCATGTCGAAGGTACGTGAAGGCGCTGGTTGCCATGGGCGGCCATGGCGGGGTTGCTCGCTAAAACAACTGGTTTGAGGTCATGGTGGGGTGAGGGTGCCGTCATAGCAGCCTACATGCGAGCCTCCTGCCCAGCGGCGAAACAAGCAGGCACGGCATCAACGGCAGGCGCGACACAGCAGCCCGCTCAAGGCGGCAGGCGCACAGGGGGCGCCTTCCATGCATCATATCTGGCAGAAAAAAGGCGATTTCGCCCCAGTGAAGCCGTCAGACAGCTGTTTCTAGTGGGTCGCAGAGCTTGCGGGAAGATTCTGGTTGGAGGCTTGGCACGTCGAAGCCGCTGGAATTCTGTAGAAACAAGACGTGCCAAAGCAATACAAAAACTGCTCCGCCGCCGCCTTGGGCTACCTCTCCAATTCACTACTCAAATCACATTTGACTCAATAAGCCTCACCCACACGAAGTCTTTGACTTGTGAGCACCTTTGCGATTTTCCTTCTACTACTTTGATACCCCACTACACATTCGCCTACCTACACCATGGCACCCGCGATCGGAATCGATCTTGGAACCACATACTCATGTGTCGGCATCTTCCGAGATGACCGTATTGAGATCATTGCCAACGACCAGGGTAACCGCACAACACCCTCGTTCGTTGCCTTTACCGACACCGAGCGTCTCATTGGTGACTCGGCAAAGAACCAAGTCGCCATGAACCCTACCAACACCGTCTTCGATGCCAAGCGCCTCATTGGTCGCAAGTTCGCCGACGCTGAGGTCCAGGCCGACATGAAGCACTTCCCCTTCAAGGTCATTGACAAGGGTGGCAAGCCTGTCATCCAGGTCGAGTTCAAGGGCGAGGAGAAGACATTCACACCAGAGGAGATTTCATCTATGGTCCTGACCAAGATGAGGGAAACCGCAGAGTCCTACCTCGGTGGAACCGTCAACAACGCTGTCGTCACTGTCCCAGCCTACTTCAACGACTCACAACGTCAGGCCACTAAGGATGCTGGTCTCATCGCCGGCCTCAACGTCCTCCGTATCATCAACGAGCCTACCGCCGCTGCCATTGCCTACGGTCTCGACAAGAAGACTCAGGGTGAGCGCAACGTCCTCATCTTCGACTTGGGTGGTGGTACTTTCGATGTCTCTCTCTTGACCATTGAGGAGGGTATTTTCGAGGTCAAGTCCACTGCAGGTGACACTCACTTGGGTGGTGAAGACTTCGACAACCGCCTTGTGAACCACTTCACACAAGAATTCAAAAGAAAACACAAGAAGGACCTTACCACCAACGCTCGTGCCCTTCGTCGTCTCCGAACCGCTTGCGAACGTGCCAAGCGCACTCTTTCCTCTTCAGCTCAGACCTCCATCGAGATTGAGTAAGTTTTACCCTCTACGAAATTTTCTTGACTTTGTTTACTAACAAACCCTAGCTCCCTCTATGAAGGCATTGACTTCTACACCTCCATCACCCGTGCCCGCTTCGAGGAGCTGTGCCAGGACCTCTTCCGCTCCACCATGGAGCCTGTCGAGCGTGTCCTCCGCGACGCCAAGATTGACAAGTCCTCTGTCCACGAGATCGTCCTCGTCGGTGGATCCACCCGTATCCCCAAGGTCCAGAAGATGGTCTCCGACTTCTTCAACGGAAAGGAGCCCAACAAGTCCATCAACCCCGATGAGGCTGTCGCCTACGGTGCTGCCGTCCAGGCTGCCATCCTGTCTGGTGACACATCTTCCAAGTCCACCTCCGAGATCCTGCTCCTCGATGTCGCGCCGCTTTCCATCGGTATCGAGACCGCTGGTGGTGTCATGACTCCTCTCATCAAGCGCAACACCACCATTCCCACCAAGAAGTCCGAGGTCTTCTCTACCTTCAGCGACAACCAGCCTGGTGTGCTCATCCAGGTCTACGAGGGCGAGCGTGCTCGCACTAAGGACAACAACTTGCTCGGCAAGTTCGAGTTGACCGGTATCCCACCTGCGCCTCGTGGTGTTCCTCAGATTGAGGTCACCTTCGACGTCGACGCCAACGGTATCATCAACGTCTCCGCCCTCGAGAAGGGTACCGGAAAGACCAACAAGATTGTCATCACCAACGACAAGGGCCGTCTCTCCAAGGAGGAGATTGAGCGCATGTTGGCTGAGGCTGAGAAGTACAAGGCTGAGGACGAGGCTGAGGCTGCCCGTATCGCCGCCAAGAACGCTCTTGAGTCCTACGCCTACTCTCTGCGCAACACCCTCAGCGACTCCAAGGTCGATGAGAAGCTCGATGCTGGTGACAAGGAGAAGCTCAAGGCCGAGATCGACAAGACCGTCGCCTGGTTGGACGACAACCAGACCGCCACCAAGGACGAGTACGAGTCTCAGCAGAAGGAGCTCGAGGGTGTCGCCAACCCCATCATGATGAAGTTCTACGGAGCTGGTGGTGAGGGTGGCATGCCTGGCGGTATGCCCGGTGGTGCTCCCGGCGGTGCTCCCGGCGGTGCTGGCGGCGATGACGGCCCAACCGTCGAGGAGGTTGACTAAGTGGATCGCTCCTCAGCAGTCTCTTTGTCTTCTTCAGCATCTTCTAGCATAGACATTTTCCATGGGGATTAGTTCACGGAGTTTCAGGCTTATGAGCCCTTTTCATTTGTTTTCCTAACTGCATCGGATGACTAACGATCAATGACTTTGGGAGGAAAAGTTCGGTGGTAGCATGTACTCTAATAATAGGGTTTAATATCCTGTATAGAGAATTGAAATGAAATTTCTAAATACTCGACTTTGCATCCTGCTTAGTGTTTGACTATGTGTTGACTACTACAGAAGAACATGCGACACGAGGAACATCTGGACTGTGGTTGATAGTGGCTATTGGACAATATGTCATGATTCCAGTGACTATCTCAAAGTACAGCAGTACAAACACCACTTTGCGTTGTGGTACATGTCCGCACAGCGGAGCGGAACTAACTTGAGGACAAAGCCGAGCATTCACAAAGGGCAACTGGCAATGGAATACCACATCGAGCTTCAGCTGATCACACCTGTTCCTCAGCTTCCTCTCTCTCACGACCACCATGTGCACACCGCGTACCGTCAACTCTCCTTGCCACACTATCAAACCCTCTCTACGCAAAGTCATCGCACAGTTCAAGCGTAATATCCGCCTCCCCCTTCAAATACGCAGCCGTATAATCCGGCTTGGGCTCCCCGTACCAAAGAATTTGCTCCACAGACTTCCCCTCAGTATTGTGAATGCGCAGCTTCTTCCCCTTGAACGCAAAGCCATTGACGGTACTCAAGCTATCGTAGAGCCCCGTCACGTTGCTCCACGAATACCCCAGGACCAAGATGGGCTGCGGGTTATTGGGGCCGGGTTCAGTAGTTGTTACTTGGATGGAGACGCCGGTGCCGCGGTCGGGGTTCCTTTGGTCTTCGGAGAAGGTAGAGCCAGAGGGTATATTTTGGGTTGGGCCCGCTTGGCCTTGGACCGATGTCACCCACACGGGGAAGTCGCATTTGTTGTGCACTTTGGCTTGGGCCGCGAAGGCGGTGCTGGTGGAGAGGGAGAGGGAGGTGAGGAGTATTGGGAGATACATGTTTGGGGAGGAGGGAATAGTAGAACGGTTTTTAGAAAAGACGAGGAATGAGAGCGGATGATGGGTATGAAGTTACTATCAAGCTTGATTGAGATGGTATGATTATTTGGGCTTCATTGGGAGGGGAGGGGGGATTTCAACCTCGTCTTATACCCGTTGAAAACGCCTCCATTTGCCTTTAGTATTCCCCACCGCTCCTGTATTCAATACTTCGTCCAAAGGTAAGAGGTTCAGCAAGCCAGTGCAACATCACTATCCACATGAGTGCTCTTGTACCAGATACCAAATATAGCATCGTCTTCCAATTGGACGCATGTGTTCAGATGATTTTGTATCCAGTATAAGGTAATGCATTTGTTTCGTTGGAAGCAAGGCCTAGTCCGAAGGTCCAACGTGGTGCAATAGACAGCATTGGCCAAGCTCTTGAGGTACACATGGTGCAACTACCCGTATCGTCCGCGGCAAACTAGCAAATACCTCGCGAGCCAATTGACGGGGCCAGCGCATACAAGATCTTGCTCTTAGATATGCAGAAAAACATAATTGACGGGAGTAGGGCCGGGGGGGTGAGGTGAAGGATTACGCCTCAATACTGCTGTGGCAAATGGTTGTCACAAAATCGGAGGCGGGTGTTCCTACGGAATTCCCATCACTGGCTAGGTCCATGTGACTAAAATGGTCTCTTTGTCATGTTATTGACTTGTCTAGCTGAAACGACTGTGGCATGTTTTAAATAGAATGAGGTTGTCTAGCTTCTGTCTATCTCGTCGAGGTAATGTCTTCCGTTGGAGCAACGTTTACCAAAGGCACCTTCGATATCCCCTCTTTCTTCTCTATGTTAGCATTGGCTTTACTTGATAGTAGCGACTTGTGCGGTGTTCGGTTTTTTTGACTATACATAGGATATGTGAACAAAGGATTATAATGTACTTAGCATATCCACTCAATATATCCGCTCAACATGTCCGCTCAGCATGTCCGCCTACAGGACATAGACTAATGATCCAATAAAGCCATTGTCCGAAATACACTGCTACAAGCTGCTTCACTCCACTGATTATAATGTGCGACATGGAATTATACTACCTTAGCCTTACGTTTGTTAAATTGATTATTACAAGGACACTACCAGTGCTAAGTTCCAAAGTTTCGTCAATCGTCGTGTATAAGAATAAGCCACTATGTCCTCGTTAGGAGCTAAGGGGACAAAAAAATCATCGCGCTATAGTGTTCGTACCAATCCGCGTTCTCGACAAAGCGCCCCATCACCGCCCAACTCTGCAAAACCGTGTCTAAAGCAAAAAGAAATGAAGAACCATCGCAACAACGCTAACAGTTGCAAAGATTAGCAAAAAGATAATTTCCGACACCGGGAATCGAACCTTTGGAGATATTAGTAAAGGTGATTGGGATGGATGATGAGGATAGTACTAACCCGGGCCTTGCCGGCACTGAACAGTGAACTGACTCTGCAATGAGAGCGGCAAATCCTAGCCACTAGACCATATCGGATGTTGTTTGATTGATGGAAATTTTTGAGATGATTATATTTATATCCTACATGTTTCAATCAAATGAATATTGAAAATCAGGCGGGATCCAAGTAGCTCATCGGCGAGGCTAACTAGTGCTAGGAGGAACACATAGCTGAAGCAAAACTTCTGCAAGCGCTATTCTTTCCTATTTAGGCCTAGATAGAAAACCCAACCCGAAGACGCAATCGAGTGAATACATGCAACCGCAAGAAAGTCGGTATCAGAAGTAGAGATTCTTGTTCTTCTAATACCGGGCAACATGATTCTGTGTGCGAATGCATGACTATAGTTATAAACACCGGTTGCTTACATTAAGCATACTTAGGTATCAGAGCTTGGTGTATAAGTCAAAAATCGCTCATCCAGACCAAGACTATAACAAGAGCCGAGAATGACTCTTGGATATGCTGCGCACTTAGTGCGGCCAGACTAGACGGGCCAGTGTAATCATAGATGACTCCCGGTTTCGCCGCATGCCCCGCGCAACAAAAAAGTTCCCCGCGACCGTTGACTTGAACTCGACACTTGAAATCCCCGCGTTAATACTTCAGCAATGGCACCAAAAAATACGGCATTCGACCTGCAGAAATGCGCGCGACACAACATTCTCGCGTTGGAGCCGTACCGATGCGCGCGCGAGTAGGTGAAGCTCAATGACGCTCATTGCGGTACTCGGACTGACGCAAGTACGTAGTGACTACAAAGACGACGGAACCAACATTCTCCTCGACGCGAATGAGAACGCGTACGGCCCGGGACTTTCATTGACGGGAGAGACCAAATCAAAAGTCAATGGCGCATCCGACTCACCGTATGCGATTGACATTGATCTACTCGGTCTGAACCGCTACCCAGATCCGTACGCACGCCGCTCTGTATCCTGTGCTGGGTCAACAAGACTAACACATGCCCACGCAGCCACCAAGAAGAACTCAAGCAGCTGCTATGCAATCTCCGAAACACGCACACGCACACATCGAAGAAGATCACACCGGCCAACCTATTTGTTGGTGTGGGCTCGGACGAAGCTATTGATGCGCTGATCCGCGCCTTTTGCGTCCCAGGCAAAGAAAAGATCCTCACATGTCCACCCACATATGGCATGTACAGCGTATCGGCGCAAGTCAACGACGTTTCGCTTGTCAAGGTGCCCCTGCAAACACCCAGCTTCGACCTCGATGTGCCCGCGATCCTCGATGCGCTGGACCAAGACAAGAATATCAAGCTAGCATACCTGTGTTCGCCGGGGAACCCAACAGGCAAGCTGTTGAAAAAGGAAGACGTCCAGCGTGTCCTAGAGCACCAATGGAACGGTGTCGTAGTGCTAGACGAAGCATACATTGACTTCTCGCCCGACGGCACCAGCCTGGCGGAATGGGTATCTGAATGGCCGAACCTTGTGGTCATGCAGACGCTCTCCAAAGCCTTTGGCCTCGCCGGTATCCGTCTGGGCGCTGCATTTGCCGACCCGGCAATCGCCCAGATTCTAAACAACATGAAGGCACCGTACAATATTCCCAATCCCACCAGTCAGCTCGCACGCGCTGCTCTGTCCCCAAAACACTTGGACGTCATGCACAAGAATCGCAATGCCATTGTAGAGCAGCGTGACCGCATGATTCGCGAATTGCCAAAGATTGCGGGCGTTGGTGCTCTGCACGGCGGCACAGAGTCGAATTTCCTGCTCTATCAGATTCTCGATGCACCTGCGGAACAGGGCGGCAAGCCGTCAAATGAGACTGCGCTGGCAGTGTACGAGGGGCTAGCAGAGGAGAAGGGTGTGGTAGTTAGGTTTAGAGGCAAGGAGCATGGCTGCTTGGGATGCCTAAGGATAACGGTGGGTACGGAGAAGGAAGTGGATCGGTTTTTGCAAGAGCTTCAAGCTGTTTTGAAAGCGATCCATCAAAGAACGCGCAAGTTGGGAGGCAAGGACGAGGAGCGGAGAGAGAAGGAGGCGAGTGATGTAGTAGCATAAGGTTTCGATGAGACGTAGATGAGAGCTGGATATAGCAATTCGGATCTTTCCGTGGCAAGGTTGCAGTCGCAAGAAATGATCGACATGACCGTTTGTTTGCATGTCTCGGGTAGATAAGTTTTAACTTTTGTGCCGCTCCTTCGTTGAACATCATTCCGCCCGCACGTCCACATCCTCATACATCCATGTCTCGTCGCCCCCACCGCATGGAGCATACAAGTACTTTCTGATACCTCCGTCTTCAAATACGGGCATGACATCGCGCTCCGCCACCTTCATGGCCCACATGATGATCCTCGCGCCCAGGTGCTCAGTCCGACCATTGATAAACACAGGCGCTGTGCTATCAGCTGGTTGATTCACAAATGTAAGACCAAGGTCATCCAGGACGTCGCTGGGCATGGCGCTAGGATCAGCAGAAGTAATGTGCACAAAGTCTACGAGGTGTTCGTCAACAAAGGTATATGTTTCTACGTCTTCGATACCGTCCTCGAGCGTTGGGAGCGTGTGGTGGGTACACAGGCTGTGCAGGAGGGTAAAAACGTATGCGTTGTCCGTGTCTGGTGTTGTTAACATTATGGAGATTAGCGCGGTAAGCAGTAAAGCCCATTTTAGACTGTCGTCGTGAGTCATGTTCAAGCCATGTTTTTGGAGCGCAGCTGTGAACTTTGCTGCTGCTGTGGGCATATCCTTTTCGAAAGTCGATAGGACATCAGGCAGGCTGTGCAAAGACCTGTTTGAAGTTTCTTGGTCTGATCCTCGTAGCCTAGCTACTGCAGCCTGGAGTTCTTGCCGCACCGAATGAATGATGCGAGCTTGGCCGTCACGGTAAATCTTTGCATACTTTTGCTTGGTGTTTTGGGGTTCCTGCTCTATACGGAGAGGGAGGGAGGCGCACCTCTGCTCCAGCGCCTGATGTAAAAGTACCAAGACCTGTAGCGTGATCCTTGCTCCAGGTCGAGCAACGTCGATGCTACCTATATCCACTTCCGCGGTAATAATTGTCTGGATGAAGAAGAAGTGAACAATATATGGCGGCATGCCGCGGAAGAAGGGCACATTATTGTCATAACGCCCGAATGGGTGACCTCTGGTACGCAAAAAGTGTTGTTCTTTGTTTGGATCTGTGGCGAGGAAATCCCGAGTCATTTCAAAAGGCACATTTTTGCCATCTAGTAGACCGAGCTGCTGCGCGTATTGCTGCAGCTGCGGCTGAAACGCTAGTTTCAAGGCAAACTGCTCAATTGGGTTGTCCTGAAGACAGAAACCGTATCCGAGGAGCAGCTCATCATTCTGCTTGGGCGCATAGTTGTTGAAAAGCTCCTCTCCCGGTTGGACAGAGTTGCCTTGGAGGCACTTGAGTACAAAGGAGCGATGTGGCTCAAAGTCCCATTCAACCTTTGCAGTGACGGAATGATTTAGAATATCGATGACTGGGAAGAGCACGGGTATTGTCTCTCTGCCAGGTAAGATATGAGTGGAGATAAATGCGCGCGAAGTGAAGATGGTAGCGGCCCATTGCAGCGATTCGCTGACTAGTGTTAGCAGGGTGTGTATGGCGTCTGATGTAATGTGCAGACAAAGCAAATCAAACTGGTCATTCAACACGTCGAGAGCATCACGTATTCAATTGCCGAGTGCACAGCATGGGCCTACTGCACGCCTGAGACACCATGTTTGGGCTGCTTCGAGTGGCCTGCGCTAGGAAACTTACAGAGAGATAACGTCAGCCAGATGCATGTCAAAGTGCTTTATGACTTGCACAGCGTGCTCCCATTGCTGGTGTAGCTCGGCCTTTCTTTCTTTTGCAGCGGGCGCCAAGGATGTGCCAGCCAGAAAGGCGAAGTCGACATCATCAAACCAGAGAGGAGTGGTCATGTCTTGAGGCCCAGGTAAGCATGCTAGGTAAGCGCTCCAAGGCGAGTCGTTGCCCTTGTCGCGCTGCTCTAGCAACATAAGATATGCCAAGATATGGTCTGGGATCTTGTCTCGACATTGCTGCAAAGGTGACTGGATATGTTGCACCTCTTTCTCACCAGGGTCTAGGTTTAGGATGGAGAAGGTAAGGTTGAGCGGACACGAGGCCACGATAGGCGAGGTCAATGGCGTCCGGGCACACAAATGGAAGCCTTGAGCGTGGGTGTAGGCGAGCTGGACATGCGGGCTCAGGTGGCCCCCATGCTGAACGAACCAATTGACGAGGTTCTCAGCTAGTGAGTGAGGAGTAACGTCTTGGGCTGATGTGTGCTCCGTTTGGGAAGCCATGAGCGACAAGGTTTGAGCTTTTCCGCCTGGCGTGATTGAGCAGATTTCAGATAGTGAATTGCAGGCGCAATGACGCAGAGCTTGTGCGACGATTCGGAGGGTGGTTCGTCCGATGGAGTTTTGCAGCGGGCGATGTGCAGCTGACGAGAGCTCCGTTTCGGAGAAAAATGGAAGTGCGCGGAAGACGGACGCCGGGAGAACCGAAGATCGGACTCAAGGCAACATGTGGTGGCATGGTGGTGAGCAGTTGCGGGGCCTTGCAGCATGGGCTGTGTGTCTCGGCGAGGTGCGTGTCATTGTCGGTGAGGAAGGAGGGGGGGAAGAGAATGCAAATGGAAGGCTGTTGGTATGCCACAGGCGGTGGCTGGCCTGGGACATGGCATACATACATACATACTGTAGCTAGCCTCGGGTTTAAACGTGCTGGTGCCTACACACACACTACTAATTACAGATGTGGTGGGCATCGACATGTTACTTACTTGGGATACATACCCAGGGGGTCCCACTCGGTAGTACATATGATAACCATTGTAATATGTACAGGACATCAGGCCTCGGCGGGTATGGTTCTTGCTTGGCCTCACATGGTGTGGTGGTGTAGGGCCGATGGAGAAAGTGTGGAGAAGGCGGGATAAATCGATAGGTACGTACATATGTGTGTACTTACGTAGCAGCATGTACTACTAGTATTGGAAACTGTTCATGGGCCAACCTATAGCGGGAGCCGTGGGAGCCGAGCGTCGATCCAGGCAGCTGTATCGCTGGAGTGCGTATCGTATCGCCCGTATGGGTGTGTATGCGTGTCAGGGTGTATCGATGGACGCAAGTATAGTAGCAGGCGAGGCGGGTACGGCGATACGAGCCAATCACACCGGCCCCGTTGCTAGAAGAGTCTGGGCCGGACATGGCTCGTGTCGTGGTTTCGAACTGGGAGCGGGCGTGCGCTAGCGGGAGGTCGACGGTTGACATGACGGGCGTCGCAGCCTGCCTGTGTCTTGTGCGTCGACAATGCGGACAAGAAGTAAAGCCCATGTCCGCCGCCGTGCGGTGAATGACCTCAGGCGGCGGCCCTGTTGACTTCATCTTTTTCCTCTTGTCCTCTTTCCGCCCTCGTGTCCTTCCTGTCCCTCGTCTTGGTTGCTTGTGTTCCTGGCGGGCTGCCTCTGGTCGTCGCATGTTACGTACAGAGTTGCTGGTACTGCATGCATTCCTCAGCCTCTCATACCCCTGCCCTGCATAACTCCCAGCTCGTGCTCATTGTGGCTTGTAAGTCAGACACCCGTTTGGCGCTTGACAGAGGCCATTCATTTATAACAAAAATGGCCTCGCATCCTACCGCCCATATTTCCCAAATTGCTGACTGTCTCCCCAGAATGCCTCTGCCCTCTGTCCCGTAGCCGGAGCAATGCTGATGGACATGTTGGCCGCCAATCCCACAACCACCGCCACAACTAATGCCTCCTTCCTTCACAAGCCACTCTCCCTTCTAGGCTCCGTCTTGCGGGGGCAAACTCCCTCCCCTGACATGTCCACAACAACAACAACAACACAAAATACCCCTCTGATTGACCATTCTTCCTCTCGCCCTGCTTCTGCCGGCAGCGACACCACTGCCGATAAGGTCAAAAAGCCCTCGCGCCGCTCAAAGACGTCCTATAACATCGCCCGACCCATAAACACTCGCTCAAAGCGCCATGTCCACCTCCAACTACACCAGGTCATTACCTCGCAGCGTCCCAAGCCTGCCTATGACGTCGTCCCCTTCTCCCTCCTCCCTCAGCGCTCCACCCGTCGCCTTGCCCACTTGTTCAACACCAGAGAGCGATTAGGCCCCCACGACCTCCTTGTCGTAAAGGCCGGAGCCTACACCTTGCAAGATGAGCAGGAAAAGTCGCGCCACGATGACTGGGCCTCACGCGACGTCGTCGGCGTCCTGAGCACGCGCAAAAGCGACAACGGCCTTACCGAGACAACCGACATCTGCATCAGCGATGGCTTCAGCCGCTGGTCAGTCGCAGACATGCCCAATGGAGGCTACGAATTCACCTCCACCGACGAGCATGCTGTTGCGCTCAAGGCACGCTGGGTGCTCAAGCCTGCTCATGCCCGCCGCACATCGGCCTCGACATTCAATGCGCCCGCACCAGAGGACAAAAAGTTCACCTTTAGCACAATCAACTCCGACTCGAGGCGACACCCCATCATTGCCACAATGACACGCAGCCGCATCGACGTTATGGACACATACACCATTCCCTCTGCCACCTCTCCTCCAACCCCAAACGCATCCTCGTACACCCAATCGCCTATAACACCTCTCAGCATTGACTCTGATTCTTTTGCTGATGCCCTTGCCGAAAAGCTTCCCATTGAGACCAACGAAGCCCTCCGCAACCTCATACTAGTGTCTGGCGTCTGGCTTGCTTCCAGAGAGTTTGCCTCGGACGGCTCCAGCCTAGCGACCATTCCAGCCCTGACTCAGAGCAATTCAGTCCGCCAGGCCGCTCATCGCGCATGCTCCATGTCTATGCTCGAAGGCCCTCGCTCACCATCGCCAGCTTCAACAGTCGAAGAGAAGCGTCGTTCATTTCCACGAATGTTGAAGGCCAGCATTGAAGGACTGTCCCATGCACACGCTGATGCTCCTCCCTCTCCTGCTTCCACTAAGACAGCGGTCAAGGCATCTCCGGTGGTCACAACCCGCTCACGGAGAGCAAACTCGACTGGCACTGCCATCCACAGCATCACTGGCAGCGCGAGGAAGAGATACGGGCTGGCTTTCGAAGATGAGACTCTGGTGGAAAGCACAGAAGAGCGCCAGATGAAACGTAGCATAGAGTTGCTTCGTATTAGAGAGCTACAACTGCCTTCTCCTATAGAACGTCCGTCTGTTGAGACATCTCGGCCCTCTCTCAACCAGCTTCCTTCTCCTATCGTTATACCTCCTTGCCCAGTAGAGCCGGCCTCGCCTGCACCGTTGCTCAACTCGCCCTTGCTCTCCCCGCCTCTCCCGGACATGAAGCGAGCACGAAAGACGCAGTCTACCTACGCACCTATTACGACAACTGGCATGTGGGATTCTGGAGTTGTCGACGGCCCCAGCCTAAAGAAACGCCCTACCAGCATGTTTGTCATGAATGAAAAGAAGCGCAAGCAAGAGAAGAAGGGCGAGCGAAGTAAGAGCAAGGATTCAAAGACGAGAAAGGGCGACCAGAGCAGCGATCACGGCATGGGTGTCAAGAGAAAGAGCGGCTGGTACGTTTACAAGATCAAGCTTCGCCTTAAAGATATGTTTCATCACAAAGAGAGGGCTTAATTGCGAATATGTCCTCCCAGCCATGACCTTATATTCTGGTCTACAATTCTTTTTCATTTCAGTAGGGTTCAGTTTTCCTGGAGCATTTGGGCATGGCGCAGCATTTCCTTCTTTTTTCTTCTCTTTTCATCTTACAACAACCGTTAGCAGAAGCAGGCTGGACCTGTTGGTTCGGGCTTGTTTCTCCAATCGCTATCTCCACTGTACACTACGCTCTCCTTACTTTCTAACCTGTAAATACCTTTGCCTCTTAGGCCACCTAGATCAACGTCACTCCCTCCGAATTTTTCATTTATTTTGGTTAGGTTAGGAAATTCGCAATTTCTTGCGCCAAATACAAATTATTCAAAACCATCATGCATTGAACATGCTCATTTGCTCGACTTTTGTCAATAGGACCGACAATATCACCGAACTCTACCTAGCGTTCTTTTTTTGGATCCGCTTTTATTACCTTATGCAGCGGGTGGGTGATCCCCTCGACCAAACTCTCGACTAGGATCATGCCAGTGAGACGGTGCTTATATCGTACCGTATCCTTACTATGGTGCTTATCCTGGTCCCAGGGTTCCGTCACCCGTTCCTTCCCAATTCATACCTGTTTTGGCACATAACCCAAAATCAACCTTTGGGTTTACCTAGCCCGGAGGACCGGACATTAATAGCCGAGATCCGAGAGGACGGTTTTTTTTTAAAGTTTTCTTTCTTTTACAAGCCATGTGCTGTACTAGTATGAGTATTTGTGGACACCTTGACATCCGGTTCGGCCGAGTGGACTGTGGATGAACGGAGGAGGGGGAAATCCGAGATCCTCTCTTGCTTTGGTCATTGATTTGCCTAGTCGAAATCATGTGCAGTTCTGCTTGCTGGAAAAGATCGAGACAAACGCATTTTCTTGGCATGTTTTTATTGATAAGCACGAAAAGGCTCCAGCAGTATTACGATTGCGTGGTGCTGTTTGCCCCCACCAATGTTGATATCCTGACCTTGCTCGGTAGGAGAAGAGCTACGCAACTTCTGTCTGTTCGACTGATAAAAGAGAGTGATGCTTTACCCCTCACAATCGCTAACCTGATGTTTCGAATCCAAAGCTGCAGCCTGGTTTTGGATATCGCGCTCACCTTTGGCATGTGAAAGGTGTGGCAGTGGCTACTATGCAGCGGCTGCTGTCATTGCAGAATTTGACGCCCTTCATGCCATCACTCTTCTCTGTCACCATCATACCCAGAGCACAATCTAGCAGAGCTCTCTCATCGTCTTGCTTTTCACGATGAACGTTGTGGTGCTCGTGGCTCACTGCAATACAACTCCTAAAAGCCCCGCACTAGCGTCCGACTAGCGTGCCTTCCCCTGCAGCCTCTCGCTTTGGCAACGCAAACGCGTAAACACTGACCTTCATGTAGCAAAACACGCCTTCACATTCAACCTCATCGCCACCACATCTTCCTTTCGTCTACACTCGTTGCATCTTGCCCGTGTCTTGTCGCCTGAACAATCACGTGTGACAAGCGTTTTCTTTTCCTTTCGCCCTTGTCCCCCTTCTTGGGGACTTGACTTTGGCCCACCATGTCCGACTCCCTAATGGACGACTCCGTATTCGACGAGGGCGCGAGCTCTGACTTCGCCCCGCCCGCAAAGCCCGCCAAAGTCACCAAGCCAGCGGCCAAACCAAAGGCACCTGCCACAAAGAAAGCAGCTGGTCCTGCAAAACCTCGAGGCAGACCCGCCGGCGCCACTGCAAAGCCAAAAGCGAAGGCTGCACCTAAGAAAAAGGCAAAGGCCGACTCAGACATCGAGAACTCAGACATAGACATGGATGAGGACCCTGTAGACGTCGATGAGTCGCTGCTCGCAGACACACCACCAAAGGCCAAAAAGGCACCAGCCCCTAAGAAGCCGAGCAACAAACCCCTCGCAGATATTGCCAATGACAGCTTTGGTGGAGACGGCGATGACGAGCCAGCTGCAAAGCCCAAGAAGGGCGGTGCCAGCAGCAAGTACCAGATGGTAAGTATTGCAATTGCAATTGTCGAAATATTGACTAACACAATCACAGTTGACGCACTTGGAGCACATCATGAAGCGCCCTGATACATACATTGGTTCCGTAGAACGGCAAACGGATAAGATGTGGGTGTACAATTCAGAGAGCGAGTCGATGGAATACCGCGACGTGTCATACGTCCCCGGTCTCTACAAGATCTTCGACGAGATTCTTGTCAACGCTGCCGACAACAAACAAAACGACAAGAATATGAGTGAGATCAGAGTAACAGTCGACCGAGAGAGTGGCGAGATCTCCATCAGGAACGATGGCAAGGGAATTCCAATTGAGATTCACAAAGTGTGTTGCTTGTGACCTTCTAAAATTACCTGCTGACTCGGTTAGGAACACGGCATATATGTACCAGAGATGATTTTTGGTCACCTTCTCACCTCGTCCAACTATGACGACGACCAACAAAAAGTCACGGGTGGACGCAACGGTTACGGAGCTAAGCTCTGTAACGTATTCAGTACCGAATTCACAGTCGAGACCGTCGATTCGAAACAGAAGAAGAAGTACAAGCAAACATGGACGGAGAACATGAGCAAGATGGGCAAAGCTAAGATTACCGACATCAAGGCGGACGATTACACCAAGGTCAGCTGGAAGGCCGATTACGCTAGGTTCGGCATGGAGGGCATCGACGACGATTTTGAAGCCATGGTCAAACGCAGGACCTACGACATGGCCGGTACGCTACGGGGCGTAAAGGTTTACCTTAACGGCGAGCGCATCAAGATCACATCGTTTGCCAAATACATGGAAATGTACACAAAGTCTATCTCGCGCGACCAGGGCAACAGCGAAGATAACAAGGAAAAGGATGTCATCATTACCGACAAGCTCGAACGCTGGGACATTGGTTTCGCCGTTTCAGATGGTGCCTTCAACCAGGTATCCTTTGTCAACTCTATTGCGACAACATCCGGTGGTACGCATGTAAACCACATTGCCGACCAGATCGTCGAGAAGCTCATGGCCATTGTCAATAAGAAGAACAAGGCCGCTGTCAAGCTCAAGCCTGCACAGATCAAGAACCATCTTTTTCTGTTTGTCAATTGTTCCATCGTGAACCCTGCCTTCACATCCCAAACAAAAGAGCAGCTTACTACCAAGCCCAGTCAGTTTGGCAGCAAGCCTGTCCTCAGCGACAAGTTCCTGAATGCCATTGCCAAGACCGATGTCATTCAGAACATCATGCATTTTGCTCAGCAAAAGGCTGACCAGATGATGAAGAAGACCGATGGTAACAAGCGTAACCGAATCAACAACGCAAAGTTGACAGATGCCAACAAGGCAGGCACCAAGGACGGACATCTTTGTACTCTCATCCTCACTGAGGGTGAGTCGGCTAGTGTTCTTGCGCTTGCTGGACGTGCTGTTGTCAACCAGGACTTGTTTGGTGTCTTCCCACTTCGTGGTAAGCTTCTCAACGTCCGTGACGCCACGGTCGATCAAATCATGAAGAACGCAGAGATTCAAAATATCAAAAAATTTATGGGCCTTCAGCACAAGAAGGAATACACGGTGGCAGACATGAAAAGCTTGCGTTACGGTCATCTCATGATTATGACGGATCAGGATCACGACGGTAGCCATATTAAGGGTTTGCTCATCAACTTTCTTCAGTGCCAGTTTCCGAGCTTGCTCAAGATCCCAGGCTTCCTGTTAGAGTTCATCACGCCCATTGTCAAGGTCTGGAAGGGTGACCAAAAGAACCCACGCAACATGAAGAGTTTCTTCTCCATGCCAGAATACGAGGAATGGAAAGAACAACACGCTCATGAAAAGGGCTGGGACCACAAGTACTACAAGGGATTGGGTACCAGCGACATTCCCGATGCTCAGATTTACTTCAAGGATCTCGACACCCACATGAAGCGCTTCCAGGTCATGCGAGAAGAGGAGGAAAAGCTCATAGAATTAGCTTTCTCGAAGAAGAAGGCGGATGCTCGTAAAGACTGGCTACGCGACTTTGTACCAGGTCGACATCTTGACCTGACCACCCCAGACATTTCCTATGACGATTTCGTCAACAAGGAGTTGATTCTGTTTTCCATGGCTGATAATGTGCGATCTATCCCGTCCGTTATTGATGGCCTGAAGCCCGGTCAGCGCAAAGTGATGTACACTTGCTTTAGGCGTAACATCAAGAAGGATGTCAAGGTGGTTGAGCTTGCTGGTGCAGTCTCCGGATCTACCGACTATGCTCACGGAGAAGCTTCCATGCAGGGTACCATTGTCGGTCTCGCGCAGAATTTTGTTGGAACCAACAATATCAACTTCTTGGAGCCAAGTGGTAACTTTGGTTCTCGCCTCAAGGGTGGTGCCGACGCTGCCAGCGCCAGGTATATTTACACCCGTCTGACACCATTTGCAAGACGCATCTTTCATCCCCACGACGATGCGTTATTGAAGTACGGCGAATCCGATGGCAACAAGATTGAACCGGAGATGTATGTACCCATTCTGCCTACGATTCTCATCAATGGTTCAAGTGGTATCGGTACTGGTTGGAGTTCTGAAATTCCCAACTTTAACCCCATGGATATCATCGAGAACATCAGGCGCCGGATGCAACCAGGTGCTACCAAAGAGGATATGACTCCTATGGTCCCCTGGTACAAGGGCTTCACTGGAACGACCACTGTTCTCGGTCCTGACCGCTACCAGTTCACGGGTACTGTTCGACAGACTGGTGATAACGAGATTGAAATCACTGAGCTTCCTGTTCGCTACTGGACCCAGGACTTCAAGGAGAAACTTGAGGAGATTATCAAGGCGGAAAAGGGCCCCTCATTTATCAAGGACTACATTGACTACAACACCCCAGATCGCGTCCACTTTGTCATCAAGATGGAGGACAAGTACATGGCGGCCGCTCTTGCTAAGGGCCTCGAGGAGATGTTCAAGTTATTTAAGCCTCAAGCCACCAGCAATCTTGTTGCATTCGATGCCCAAGGACGTATTCACAAGTACTCGACCGTCCTTGACATTATTGAGGAATTTTACCACATCCGTCTGCGGTACTACGAGAAGCGAAAGCAGCATCAACTTCAAGTCATGGAGAAGGAGCTCCTCAAGTTGACGAACCAAGCCAGATTCATTCAGATGATTATCGATGGAAAACTTACGGTTTCCAAGAAGAAGAAGGCTGCCCTTGTCCAGGAACTCAAGAAACTTGGTTTTGCACCGATCCCCAAGGTCGAAGAGGCGAAGAATATCGGCGAAGAGGAAGATGCCCAGGAGGATGAGTCAGACGAGGCTGAAGTCGAGGTGTCCGCCAACGACTATGACTATTTGCTTGGCGTAAGTACTCATACACCTGAACAGC